CCAACACTTTATACATAACCAAAAACATACTTTGTCAAATATTTCTGATATGATCTTTTGGTAAGGAAAACTGACCTGTCTTGCTCCGCATCACTCCTTACTCTTCTCGAAACCTACGTGTGAAACAATCACACGCTAAGTCGAAGACTTAGTGAGGCATAACAACTTAATGCACTTTAAAACCTATATTGATACATGCATGTTCTGTTCTATCATGTTACAGCAACTTCATGCATTTTTCATATCGTATAAAATCATATCAGATTAATTGCAGTAAATACATGCATACACATAGTTCATCATTAACAGTTTATCATATAATCACATACTATTTCAATCAAACACTATACACACACCCAACATCATATCATTTCTATAGCATTTATCATACCACTAACTTATATTTGTTCATATTTCTGGATTAGCCCATGTATATATGTGAGAACTATCGATATGTGAGTCTATAGAGGTTGTGCACTATGCTGTCACCACAGCTCGTATAAATGCACCGAAGTGCCCCGTAGAATTGCACCGAAGTGCCTGTAGAATTGCACCGAAGTGCCCGTAGAATTGCACCGTAGTGCCATATAATGATGTCCATAAGGACCACGTAGAATTCCTTAAGAATCATATACATATGCTAGGGATCAAGTATGTGTCTTTCGAGACTTCACACATGTTCCAAAGAATATACATATGTCCTAAAGAACCGAATAGACCCTCGACTCTTGGCATGCCAACTATACCCCTAGCTCTCATGACACATAACATGGGCGTTATCATTTATTTCATTTCAAATATTCACATAAACTTGTAATTCACTTTCACATATCACGTATCACATAGCTTCTTTTCATATGATCACATAGTCCCGTAGTTCACTTGCACGTAGATCATTTCCATATAATTCACATGTCACATATGTCATGTTTGCATATAATTTCTATCATTTCTCACCCAATCACCTTTATTCATATAAACATACTTATCATATCTTGTTCACATAAGATCATATACTTCATATAATATATCGAAACACCTAGAACACTTTCACGTAGCTTATAGTCATAAGTCTTATCTCATAACATATACTTGTTTTCACATATATATATTTCATAGCATTTCTTATACCATCACATAATTCCTTTAACATACATAACATATCATGTAACATTATAATAGCAATACTTATAAGTCATATTGCTTATATCTTAATCTTATGCCTTCTCTTAAACATATATACATATATATATATATATATATATATATCACATGTTCAGGTAATTCACCATTTCATCACATAATTGTGTATTCATATAACTCATTTCATTTCATTTCATATCTATCTATATATATATCCTCAAGATTATCCTAATATAAATCATATAGCACTCTTATATTTCGTATTCATCTAGGGCAGACTTATAAACATATCTCACTTCTATTATTTCTATATATATAATCTAATCTGTTACTTAATTCAATTTTCATATCACTCTTATAATCTTCTCATATAACTTCACAAATTTCTATCATTCAACCCATGTGTTATAGTTTTATTTAAACCTATGAATCTTTCCCATCTAGCTTATCTTATACGTTCATCTTATCATTTATGTTCAAATCCCCTAGTTAGTGTACTATTTTCACTTCATCCTATAGATCAATATTATCCAGCTTATTTCACTTATCATATAATAATATAATTATATTTTCCTATGATCACATAGTTTATATCTCATACTTTGCTTTCTCATGTTCACCTATATCATGTCATATGGCTCATATCTTTCTCATGCAGTCACATAGTTCAGTTTCACATATGTATATATATACATTATATAGCACATACTTCTCATAACATTACATTCAAAAGCATGTCAACACATATATTCATGCATACATACAATTCATGTCATTCATATACGTATAATCATATATTCATGCATTCTAACATAGGAAATAGACTTGTCGCAAGTCTTGTTTCCATTTAGCACCATAAACTAACTAATATGCACTCACCTGGCCTCACTAGCCAATTCCAATCTCTTATCTTTCCCTTGATCGATCTTACTTGCCAAACGTTCCGGAATTGCTTTATGCGTAGAATCTACATAAATGTACATTTCGAGACCATCATTAGGTACCTACACCTTGTAATTGGATACTAGCAACTTAAACTAACTTATTAAACCCATATTCCCAATTTTCCTTTAGGGGGAATCGGTTCCCCCCTATGGGGGTATCGGTTCCCCCATGACATACTGGAAATTCTTGTTCGTTTGAAGGGGTATCGGTTCCCCTTGAATGGGTACCGATTCCCCTTGCCCAGAAATCATATTTTGAGCTCGAAAATCCTTCATTTTCAGCTCAACACATCATACTTCATTCCCTTTAATATTCCTAACTTTCATACACATACTTAAACTCATTTCTACTCCATAATCACTTCTTTAAACTCAAAATTCTATCTTCCATATAAGATTCAAAAATCATACCAAATTTTCAATGTGTTCTAATTCCCATTCTATCACTTCATATCTCTTAATTTAATCCTTGACAAGTCAAATTCAACTTCACAATCTATTAACTCCTTCCATATAAAAAAATTCACTTAAAAACTCATTTTTCTTAATTTCTCATAACTTGTTAATCTTTGAGGTTTAAGCCACTTAAAGCTTTCCTTAATCTTTCTTAATATCCCAAGAATCAAAACAAGCTTTAAAACGAAAGAATTAACCAACTAAAGACCCACTTACCTTATACCAAGCTTCACGGTTGAGAGGAGGAAGAAGACTGAAGAATGCTCTGGACTCTTCTTCCTCCGTGCTTATTACCCTTTAAAAAAAATTATAAAAAATCTTTCTGGTCAAATGACCATAATACCCTTAATTTCCTTTAATAAATACCAAATAACCTTCAATATATATATATATTCAAATAATCATTGAATTCTTTCATTCTTCTACTTTAGTCACCAAATTCTGAAACTTTACAATTTGGTCACTAACCCGGTATTGCGGATGTTACAATACCAATTTTTCCATGTTACCCAAACTTAATTCTAACACTTCTAGCTTCTTATTCTCATAGATGACAAGTCAAATTCAACTTCCAATTTGAGTAATGAACTCTATTCCAAAATTTCATTCAAAAACTCTTAATTTTTAATCTCTCCTAATTCCACCATCCTTTGTTTTAAAGATGATTTAAGGTTTCCTAAAGCTTAATTATCATCCAATAATCATAACCAAATCCTAAATTCAGCTAAATATCAACTAACAAGAGATCTTACCTTTGTTTATGGCTTCACGATGGAAAAGAAGAGAATGAAGAAGAGAAGTCTGGAACTCTCTCATATTTCCCACGTTTTATAATACTCAAAAAGGGAAGATAAAAATCTTTCCCATGAAAAGACCATTTTTCCCCTTTATTTCATCCATCTTTGCTATTTAATCCAATATTAAAATTCTTTACTTAACTCCCGAGACTTTTAATTTATTTCTAAATTGAGCACAAAACTTTCAAATTTTGCAATTTAGTCATTGGCCCTGATTTGGGATATTATAGTATAAACTGCAGCCTTGAGAGTATCGTGCCCATACCAACACAATTTGAAAAACAAACGGGCACCTACGTTTCCACAGCTACCAGTTTCGCTGATCAGTTTCCACATGGACGTTACTTAAGAGCCATTCTCGTCGATCCAAAGAAAAGAAACTATCACGCCATTCCAAAGGAATTACAGACGACCATAGTTGCTTCCTTTCGGGGCAGTCACGAAATGCATGCAAAACGAATTCCGACTCTCCACATAAGGAGCAATGTGGTAATCAATCTTTTAGTACGCTCCAAGTCAGTCATAAGCTTTCCTTGGAGTATTGTCCAAAGAAAGACATGAACGTGTTGTGGTAGTTGCAGTTTCCAAACCATTTCCCATTTTGTATCGCCGTCAAGGTTGCATAGGTGGATGAAACACTAAACATTTGGTCAGAGGTGTTCAATTCCGCCATATACAGCTATCATCAACGACACTCAGCAGACATGATGCCTAAAATATGGTAAAGTTCAATACAGTTAACCTTAAAATTAGATCACTAAACTTTTAAAATATGCCTAAAAGAGGGTAAAGTATAGTAATGATCACTAAACTTTTCTAAAGCTTTCATTTAGGTCCCCAACTTTTAAAACTTGTAATACAGTCGCCCAACATTTAGTCCGTTTGCAATATAGTCTCCCAACATTTAGTTTATTTACAATATGGTCCCCCAACATTTAGTCTGTTTGCAATATGGTCCCCGAAATAACTGTTAGGGGACCATATTACAAACAAACTAAATGTTGGGAGACTATATTGCAAGTTTTAAAAGTTGAGGGTTCTAAATGAAAGCTTTAGAAAAGTTCAATGACCATTACTATACTTTATCCTATTTTTAATTATCATTTCCAAGTAAAAAAAAGAAGAAAAAAAGTTTAAAAAAGAGTAATTGTCTTTTTCCTCCACTAGATCAACCATCACCACTCAACTCTTCTTCTCCTTCTCCATCCTCTCCTCCACCCTTTTCTCCTCTCTATCCTTCTACCAGCAACCTATTAAATTGAAACTAAGGTGTTTTTATGTAAATTCATATTTATGTTTTAATATATCTTGGTAATAGCGGATAACCAAGGCAATAAAAAGAGAGTCCGAGAAGAGGCTGAGGATACTGAGTCAGAGGCTAACTCGATTCCCAATTTAAAATTCGCACGAGTTGATATGGACAATACGAATGTCACTTCCGGATCTCCCATGGCTACTCATGTCGAGCTCAACCCATATGATGGAAGTGTTTAGTTGTCGGAGACAAAACATGTCCCGAAAGACTTAGTGAACATCTTAGACGATTCCGATCTGGTCTCCAAACCAGTGCGATTCAGGGACTTGACGCAGTTGGGGCTCAATTTTCTGTTCGAAGCTTCGAATGATGATATGGGTTTGTCTTCGAGTTTCTCGTCGGTAGAGGCGGAGCAGAAATTTGAAATCGCCTTCAATGTGGAGGAAGGCGGGGGTTTCAGGTGACATTGGATTTGCGAAAATGATGAGGAATGAGTACCCTATTCTGATCTACGACTCGTTTGAATTCGGAATCGACAGTGATTCAGATAGCAGCAATAATATTCATAGTAATAGTGGTGATTTTGTGACTTTAGGAGGTTTGTTTGAACCGATAATTGATATTTCGGAGCTGACATGGCGGCCTGAATCGCTTCCCACCTTATAGTGATTTCAAGCGATATGAAGAGAAGAGAGGAAAAAAGAGGGTGAAGGAGAGGATAGGGTAAGTGGAGACAGAAAAGAAGAGTTGAGTGGTGATGGAGAAAGACATTTACCCTTTTTCAAACTTTTTTTTTATTGACTTGGAAAATGATAACTAAAATATAATAAAAAAATTCATATCATAACGTGGTTAGTGGTGGAAATAAGCTGAGCGGCCATGGTTTTCAGAATCGGACCGGTTAGCGAACCGGTCATGCTATCGGTTCACTGGTTCAACCGCTCGAATCAGTCTGATCGGTCGGAAGAACCAAACGACGTCATAATTATTTAAAAAATTAAATAAAAATACCAAAAATATTTAATAAAAAATAATTTTTTATATCACAAGTCATATTCAAAGCAAGTCATAACATATATAAGTTAAAAACCATAAAATCAAGTGAAACAAAATGATTCAAATTAACTACAACATAATATTTAAGGTAAACCATATTAAATAATAAATATAATTATATAAATATAATTAAAAAAATAAATTTGGGGTTAAAAAAATCATAACAAAATGATATTGTTTGGTTTATTTTTTTTAAAAAACAATCCCACATGGCTAAGAAACATAAAAGAGCATCCCAAAAGTCTAAAGAATAAAAATATGAGAACAAAACAATCTCACATTGCTAAGAAACATAGAAGCGCATCACAACTAACTTCTATAAATAATAGAGGTAATTTGGCATTCAAAATCATGAAGCCTTTTGGTGAGCATTGAGTGAACTATTCTTTCACTTCAATCAAACTCAAATTTTAGGCTTCAATCGAGCTTCTAATTTTTTTTGAGTTCAAGCCTTTTTGAGTTCAAGTTTCAATATTATATATTTCGAGTTTGAGTTGAACTTGATAATTTTTAGCTTGTGAGTTTGAGTTGAGTTGAGCTTACTTTTAAAGTTTTCAAGTTCGAGTCGAGCTCAGCAATACTCGAGTTCGACTTGGCTCGTTTAACAAACGACGTTGTTTGATTTAATTTTTTTTTTAAAACAAAAATCCCAATTTTTCCCGGTTTTTTCCGGTTTTCAGCCGGTCCGGTTCGAACGGTTCAACGGTTCTGGTCGGTTCACTAATAGCGGTTCAACCGGTTTAGATTGAACAGGACTAAGCAACGGTTCCCGGTTGAACCGACCGGTCCGATTTTCAAAACAGAGTGAGCGACCAAATAATTTAATTACATTAAATGTAGTGAGGAAAATTAACGGTTTTAAAACACGATGAGTGAAATAAGAAAGAGTAAAGTCCAGTGATAATCAGTGTATAAGTTAAAAGTGACCGATTTAATTTTAATATTTATATGTAATGCGGTATTAATTTTTTAATTTTAAAATTACGCATTTATCTTTTTAATGATAAATTTAAGTGTATATTTTTTAATGATATAATTAAGTATTTAATTGAATTTGTTGGGTGGTTTCAGAGATAAAAAATGCTTAAAATAAAAATGGTACTTAAATTATGTAATTTTTTTGTTTTAACTACATAAAATATTTTTTTGGTCAAACTAAGTCCTTAAACTATAATATTTAAATATTTTAAGTCCCATCATTTTTTCCAGTTAAAAAAATATTTTCTACCAATAAGATGTTGATACGTCACACAAAATTAAATATTTATTTTGACCAAAAAATAATTTAGGGACTTAAAGCAAAAAAGTGACATAGTTTAGGAACTTATTTTAACAAAAAAAAAATTATATAATTAAAATGATTACATATAATAGTTTCATGACTTAGTTTAACCAAAAAAATAGTTTAAATACTTAAAACTAAAAGGACATAGTTTAACCTGTAAATACCTATTTTTAATTCAAGCTATAAAAATATTATTTGTTAGGGAATCCGAGCTCTAGCAATTGTATTTGCATAGTATGAGTTTGTTATTAATAAACTAAGAAAATTTTGTAATTCCTTACAAACCTACTTGACTAAACTATTATGTACTTAATTTTAACAATAAAAAAGTTGGATATCTAATTGAATAAAAATGAGTATCATGTTGCACAAAATGTTAAAATTATATTTATCTGAAGGCCTCATACTGACTCAATCACACTATGTGGACAAGATTCTTAAGAAGTTTAACAAGGATGATTTTGGTATAGCTAGAACTCCAATATATTCTTGTTCATATTTGTTTAAAAAACATGGTGAAAGTGTTCACTATGTGGAATATGCAACGATCATAGGTAGTCTAATGTATTTTATGAGTTGCATTAGACCAAACATCACTTTTACTGTTGTAACACCCTTAACTTATATATGTCTCGATATACGAGTCAAAAATATCACATCAACTTAAAAATATTTACTGAACTGAAATTATCTAAAAAAATATTTCATTTTTAAAAAACTTCTATTTTAACTTTAAAATCTATTTTATGAATATCTTAACTTATAAATAAATTCTTTGTTGTAGAAAAAAAATCCATTTGCTAATCAGTAATTTTACCAAATTATATCTTTTCGTAAAATCTTTCTAAATCATAATAATATAAATATTCTTTTCATGCATAAATATCGATAATACCAAGTAAAATAAATAAAGTAGTTCTAGCTTACTATTACATATTATTTAAAATAAATATAATAAATAGAAACTACTTACATAATTATACATGCCACTAAAAGTCGAAAGTAACATTATAAATATCTTACTGATACTGATGATAGGTATGTCTTTCTAGAAAGATGCTTCATTGGCTCCTCACTGATCGTACATATCCTTATTAGAACCTACGCATGAAAATCATCACAAGCTAAGTACAACTTAGTGAAGCAGTAATAATCTAAGGTGAGAAAAAAAATCTGAAAATATCATAAACATAATTAAAATAATTCAAATTAAAACATTAAACTTGCAAAGCAACTTATACAAGTCGATTTTTTCACTGAGACCTGAAATTTCTTTTAAGTCATGAACTCATGAATATTCTAATAAATCATATCTGATAAAATAAGCATAACATGATTTCTGTCAACTGGAAATCATTCACAACTTGTATATTCATTTTCATAACCCAATGTATATTTATGAAAACATAAGATATGTGAGTAAGGTGAGCACTATGCACAACACGGTGCAAATCGTAACTGATACTGAGATATGATGCACTTCAATGCCATCATAACTTGAATGAGCACCAACGGTGCTAGACACTGGTACACAAATGTACCAAAGCTGATATGATAACATTGATACACGAATGTATCAAAGTTGATAATGGATAAATACTCAACTAATGGCATGCCAAGTGTACTAACAATTCTCACTATAACACACAATAAGCTGATGTATCATAATAAATCCATCATAAAAATATCATGCTTGGACAGTTCATACCCTAAATCATTCATAAAACTGATATAAGATATTATAAAAATATTATTTATAAACTTTATAAAAATACTATACTCAGAAGTATTATACTAACGTCGGATTCGAGCTTTTAATCTATGCATTGTTCCGAGCATGCCAATCTTGTGCTTTCAGAATTCTAAAATATAATATTTGTTAGCTTCGATTTTGTTTGCTTCAATATGTTCTACAAAAAGTATATCCAAGAAATGGATATATTCCCTAAACTTATAGAGCACTCTAAAATGTTAACCGGACACTTCCATCGCCTCGGATGTTCTCAAATGGGTAGGTACAACTTATAGACTGCTCTCACATCTTTACCATGTTTCTTCCATGATCATGATCAAAATAGAAGGCCATAACTTGCATTTAAAACAACATTATTACTAACTCACTATCCTAGGCCTCCCAGGATATTTCACTTAAATTGTGATTCGAGTAAATAACTGTGGCATTCCGCTTTGTCAAATCGAAACATATAAGCTCACTGCTCTGCAGTCAAGCTTCCATTTTGTCTGATTGAAATCAAGCTAACTTACAATAACCATAACTAACCTAGTTCCATTGGCTAAGCCTACTAATTCATGCACGCAACGCAACAATATCATGCATGATACTAAAACAAATACCATGAATTCATCCAATTCTATGCAAATTATAATACCCAATCTCATTAACCAATAACCAAAGCATTCACATAAATTTTCTAATGGCCGAATGCTCCTATATGATTTTCTACTGGTTTTCCATCCATTTTAATGTTTGAATATGATTCCACAACCCTCCTAGCTTTAAAAACTAACCTTATTTCATTGAAATTAAACTTTCCCTTCAACCACCATAAATACCCACTTCACCATTTAGGCATGAAACAATGAAATACCTATACCAATTTGTAGAGAATTAAGTGTAGAACATTTTCCTATTTCACACTTTAGTCCAAATTCTCACTAAAATGGATCAAAAATGAAAAATAAAAACTTACTCACCTTTGGCTATGGAGTCACGGTAGAATGGAGAAGATGAGCTGAACTTCTTGAGATTTCTCACAAAATATCTCTTTAAAAATCCAATTTAAAATGAATTAAAAATTCATTTTAGACCAAAAGTCAAAATTACCCTAATGAATCCTAATTTTTACCACCATACCATCCTTTTATCTCCATTTAATATTATTAAATAGTTGTAAAATTCCCATCTCTCAATTTTTCTTTTTGATCCTTCAATTTTTCAAAATTTCATTTTAGTCACTAAATTGCACTATCTCACTTTATAATGCAATTCTTACCAAATTCCACCGATCCAACTTAAATGTTCACTATTTAAAAATATTTATATAATTTTTCCAACCCAAATATGCCTCCCTTGAAATTTTTATAAACTTATGTTCGATCCGGATATCCAAATAATATATCAAACTTTGACCTTTGATACGCTTTTATGCAAACTCTAGATCAAAATTCTGAAACCCAATAAAATAATTATCTTGAGCTAAACTACTAATTAACAAATCCAAAATTTAACTTTTAAAAATTTACATTTTAGTCCTTAAACTTTTACAACTTTACAATTTAGTCTCCAAACTTTCAAAATTTACAT